GGGAACGTGGGAGAGGAAATGAGCACAAACCTTTCATTGTCTCTTTTCTTTCTTTCTTTATGTACATACTTATGTATATTTAGATTTATTTATTTATTTTAGAGACAGAGAGCGAGCAAGCTGGGGGAGGGGCCGAGGGAGAGAGAATCCTCACGCAGACTCCCCACTGAGCACAAAGTCTGACGTGGGGCTTAATCCCAGGACCCTGAGATTATGACCTGAGTCAAAATCAAGAGTTGGCCGCCTAACCGACTGAGCTACCCAGGCGCCCCTCATTATCTCTTTTAAAAAGTACTTACTAAGCAACTGAATAGTTTAGAGAGGATTTCAGACAAGATGATTTACTTATGTGGTCAGAATCACTCACTGATGTCATTTCAACACACTTTCATTTATTTCTTAATATCTGTCCCAAAGATGAGTTCTTGAGCAACATTTGGCAATGCTAGCTGGGGCTACTATATATTTTAAGAAAATAATAGTATTATATGTCTCTGTCTCCTTCTGTAAAATTAGCCTAGATTAGTGAGGTTTATAATACATATACAGAAAAATCATACAAATATTCCTTTTCCACCATAAGGAGAAAAACATTTGTCAGTTAATTTCTAAAATGCTGTCAATTATAATAATCCTCTTTTCCCCAGTTTTGTCCTGATTTTGCTAAATAAAAGTTGTCAAGACAGCTGACTAGCCCTGGTCTTTAACTAATGTCAAGCCAAGAGTGTTAGAAATCCACTGCTCTATATGGGCCAATGGTTTACTGGCCTAAAGACAGCTGGTCTTCAGATGACATTTGCTAACACTATTAAAAAGCATTGGCTCAAAGTATTTATGAGGGACCCTTCTGACATAATCATCATCAGTCACACAGTTTTATGATCAGCAGCTTATAATGGGATCCTGTTGTTATATGAATATTTACCAGTCCTGTCAATATGATTTACAAAAGGCTTCAAAAGGAATTGATTTTTAAATTGGTTATTTAAAAATATGATATATTGACCTATCCTCATGAATGAAAATACAAGTACTATTTAAATTTAGGTGTGGTTAAAACCATAATGAGGCTAAAAAAGATAAAACAAAACAAAACAGACCAACCTTACCAAGCGCTGACTGACAAGGAGACAGAACGACTGGAATTTTCCCATATCCCATGGGAATGATGATGGTAAAGACACTTTGGGAAACAGTCCAGCCATTCCTTAAAAAAGTTAAACATACTGACCATATGCCCCAGCAATTCTAGTCCTAGGTATTTACCCAAGTGAAATGAAAATTTATGTCCAAACAAAAAGTCTGTAAGTGAACGTTTGCAGCATATTTATTCATCTTAGCCCCAAAGAGGAAACACCCATATGTACATTAACTGGTGACTAGATAAACAAATTATGGCTCTTCCTTACATTGGGATACTATTCAGCATAAAAAGGTATGAACTACTGATACATATGGCGAGGGGATGTGGGAGAATCTCAAAATCATTATGCTAGCTGAGAGAAGCCAGACTCGAAAGTTCATTCTATATAATTCCACTTATATGACATTCTGGAAAAGGCACAACCATAAAAGGTAGAAAACAAATCTGTGGTTGCTGGGAGTCGGGCTGACTAAAAAAGGGGATAAGGGAATTTTTTGGGGGGTAATAGAACAATTTTATATATTGATTGTGGTAGTGGTTTCACGAGGGTATCAATTTGTCAAAATTCATAGAACAGCAACCCTAAAAAGAATATTTTTATTATATGTACATTTTGCCTCAATAAATTCAGTGTGATGATTGGAAGGTAAATGAGAGTTTAAGATAGGCATACCCTTTCCTTGTATACTTAAAGATACAAATGAAAGCCAACAACCTCGCTCTCCTTGTGGCAGAGACAGGTTAACTTCATTGCCAGCTTAAGATCAGGTAAAGGCTCCAGTGTTACCATGGATACAAGCTATTATTTCCTTTTGTGTAAAATCTCTAATATTAAATGGTGACTCACATGGACTATAGGGGTAGACTCATAAACAACCAGACAAAGTCACCCAAGGGTTTTCAGCCCTAGGACCCCTGCCCATAACGTTTCCTTCATGAACCTAAGAGAAACTATAATGTCAATGAAGATATCTTTAAGGGATTAAAAAAAGAAAGGGTAAAAACTTTTTGGCTAAACTTGAGGGCAGTTCTAAAAATGGCACGCTAGCGTTAAGGCTGTGAAAACTGTATTTTCTTTTGTTTGTTACAGAAATAATTTCCCATAGATCAGTTGCTAAAACAACAACACGTCGGAGGCTAACCTCTCCTCTAGCAGTTGACTTTCCTGTGAGATCAGGGTTTTCTAATTAAGACAGTGGATAGTGGGCAGATTGAGAGTAAATTTGAAAATCAGCAGAATTCTTTGTGGTAGGGCTCAGATTAGCAAGGTGTGGTAATTTATTCAAAATGATATGAAGGTAAAAATTGACTCTTAAAGGGCACTTATTTTAGAACTCTATTTAAGATGTGTTGCCACAGAGACTGCCATGCATCCACCTAATAACCACTAAAAATTAAAATCATAGCTGCTGCCGCTGAGTGAGTGCTTCCCACATTACTAGGAGGAGCTACACATACCTCTAGGATGTAGCCTTGCTATTTATGGTCCCCAAATCCGGAGCTCCCTGCAGGCTCCATGCTAGTCCTTCCCTCTGTGCTTCTGTCCATTATTCCGACATTTAACAAATATATTTACCTACCATGTATCTATTAGTGATTGAATTATGTCCCCTCAAAGTTTCCATGTTGAAATCCTAGCCCCCTGTGCCTCAGAATGTGATGTTATTTGGACACAGAGTCATTACAGGTCTGACTAATTAAGATGAGGTCATCCTGGAACAGCATGGGCCCCTCAGTCCTATACAAATCGTGTCCTTATAAAAAGCAGAAATGTGGACGCTGACACGCACAGCGAGAGTGCTATGGGATGATGGAAGGCAGAAAGTGGGGTGATGTGTCTCCAAGCCAAAGAACACCGGAAGCTAGGCGAAAGAACGGGGAGCAGATTCTCCTCACAGCCCTCAGCAGAACCAACTCTGCCGACACCCTGATCTGGCACCTCTCACCTCCAGAACTGAGACAATACATTTCTGTTGTTCAAACCAAACCCTACGGAAACCAAATCCCACAAAACAAAATAAAACTGAAGTACGTTTCCTACTGACAAGAAGATTCTGCAAATGTCTGAAAAGCTGCCGCAGTGCAACACCTCCTTCAAGGGACCGGGGGTCCGTGGTGACTTCCGGCATTGCTCCTGTGTGGACCCCGCACGTCTCTCACCCAGGACCCCGCGCCAACCCCCTCGCATGCTCCTCCCTCACTGATGGGCTCACCCCTACCTCCTCAGACTGCTCTCAGATTCAAATCTTTGAGCACCGTCCCAGTTTTATCAACTAGTAAAGCAAATGGGGCGATCGTTCCTAGAGGAAAAGAGGGCCCATTGCATGAGGCATGAGATGGTAGCCACGGTCTGGGGGAATCGACAGACAGACTCCGTGGTCTCTGGGGGAATGGAGAGACAGACTCTGCTCCTGGCAGAGGCGCCGAGGCACAGCCAGCATCGGGGCATGTGGACAACCCCAGGAGCCTCGCAAAGCAGCTGTTACACCCATTTCCAAGCGCGGGGACCTGAGCGGCGACTGTAATGACATTTTCCTGGCTGGCTCTGACCTCTGAATCGCACTGATTAGTCTAACACACACTGTGAAACATCAACCAGTTAGGACTCAAAGCCAAGACTCAAAAATTGCTTTAAAATGGCAGGAGATGGTTAAGACATAATTTCTGTGACTTGGTCATTAACTTGTTTATATCCCGGTCTGCACATCTTTTTTTTTTTTTTTTTTTAATACCCTTTCCTCTCAATTATTTTTCCCTGCTTGGCTAATGTTTCTGTAGCAGTTACCTCTAATCATTAAGACACTTTTGCAGGGAATTCATGCTCCTGATCTTGGAGAGCAGTCAATATGGATGGGGGAATTAAAACAATATCTTACTCAGTATATAGTTTAGTTGCCCATCATTCTATTTACATTTCCCTTGTTTAAATAAAAACAGGGCTTTTTTTCCCCCAGAAAAGAGTGGTTAGGTTTGTACATTCTGAGGGGTAATACAAAATACCCACGTGTGATGATAACTTATGCTATATTGTTCTAAGGTAACTCGAAGGCTCAAACACCGTAAGTCTATCACACGTCACTTGATGTTTTCAGAACTCGATCCTGCTATGAGTCTTTGATTCTGTTCCCCGACTGCTGTGCTGGGGTCTCCCGTCCCCTCAACCCCTCACCCCACAGTCTGTGCTCCTTCTCCTTCCTCCAATGCCCCGCAGCTCCTGTCTCTTCCTAATGACTTCCACAGACACATCTTTAGCTTCGATGTGGGAGGCCGAAGTCTGGCGCCCCTTCACAAAAGCACAGACACCACCCTGTTTCCAAACCTGCCCATTCTGCTGCTTCACCCATTCCATCAACAAACATGTCTTAACTATGCACGGTAGTGTGTTCGTGAAAGCCCGCTAGATCCTCCGCGTAATCCAGAAGAAGTGAAAACAGCGGAGTTTACCTTTACACGGAGCTTGGAACGAAAGCCCGTCAACATGCTTTTAACTTAGAAGTTCTCAGAGGGCAAAACACTTGCGTCATGATCCGCAAGGATTTTCTGACCATTTGCCACGAGGCTAAATTCCATCCACAAACCTCTCTACCTCCTAGATTCTCTTCCTTAGCTTCCTATCTCGAGGGTGTATTTCTTCAACAGATTTCTTTGGCTTTGATATTTCTCCACATTCTGCCTTTCTGCACCCATTAGCACTTTCCCTTCCTTGCAACCGAGCAACCGGTTGCCCGTTCTCTTCCTTCACCTTTCCCGGCAAATGGCTGCCATTTCACTTCCACTTAATACACACGTCCCTTTCCCTCAGACAGAAGAGAAAGAAAAAAAAAACAACAAAAAACAAAAAACGGGGCCCGGGTACCTGCTGCATGCCTTGCATGGTCTGCTGCAGGAACTGCAGCTGCTGGTCCTTGGTGACGGTTTCCTCTGTTCGAAAAAGCTGTTCCTTCTCTTGTTTCAGCAGCTCCACCTCATTCCTGTAGGCATCCAGCTGCCAACGGAGACTGTCGTTCTCCTCTTTAAGAGCATAGGCCTGAGCGGCCAGGGCTGAAAGACAAACAGAACGAGCTCCAGTCAGTCACCTTCCTGCATAGACGGAGGGGAGGCCTTTCGTGGGAAGGGCAGTCTCTCGCCCCAGCTCGGAAACAAAACCCAAAGGCCTTGCCCCGGGGCTCTGCTCTTGCGTTTGGCGGGTATCACTGCTTTCGGCAGTTTTATCTATTCTATTTGGGGAGGAATGCTTGCTGGGGGCACAGGAGTCATTCCTTCCAAAGTCCTGTCTCTTGACCTCTGCCCCCAACCCCCCTCTCAGAAGTCGGCACGTGTGGCTAGGTGGTGACAACTCCGGGCAACAATAGTACCCACCCTAGTACTGTTTCTACAGGCTGGCGTGGCGGCTCTTGGGGCCACTTTCTTTCCAACCGTCCCACAGGTTGAGGCCTGCAGCAGCCACCCAGACAAGGAAGGAATCGACAGGCCCGCCATTCCTCCCTGCACGGCTGCTGGGATGCTTCGCACAGCTTGTTTGTTTGCTCCTATCAGAAGGGTAACTTGGTTCCATTTGCTTCACCCACAGATTAAAACTCTGCTTCCCTACAAGGCTGAGTGTTTACTCGAATACTCCTTCCTGAAACCTAAAACTCTCTAGGTGCAGATCCAGACCTCACACACATCTCCATCTTACCAAGAGACAGAGACCATTAATGCAGGGTCTTCCACATCTCAAAGTCTCAGAAACAGCAGAGACTGAAGAGAAGAGTGAATGGTACAGAACAACACTGAGGATGGTTTACAGCTTATTGCTTTGTGGCCTCTTCAGGGTAAGAACAGTCGGTTGGACGCCCACCATGTGACAACGCCCACCATGTGACAGGCACTGGGCCCAGAGCTTTGTATGGACTAAGTCACTGCATCCCCCATCAAGCCTGCTCTTAAAACCCCTCTTGACAGATGACAGAAGTGAGGCATAGAAAAGTTACAGAACTTCTCTCATCCCACAAAATAAGTAGCAAGAACAGCCTTGGGGTGCCTGGGTGGCTCAGTTGGTTAAATGTCCAACTTTTAGTTTCAGCTCAGGCCATGATCTTGTGGGTTGTAAGATCGAGCCCTGTGTCAGGCTCCTTGCTCAGTGGGGAGTCTGCTTGAAAATTCTCTCCCTCTGCCCCTACCCCCACTCATTCTCTTTCTCTTTAAAATAAATAAATCAATCTTAAAAAAAAAAAAAAGTAGCATGAACAGTCTTCAAACCCAGTCTTCAAGTCGCTGGGCTGTTCTGCCAGTCCGGATGCATGTAGTTCTTACCAGGCCATTTGAAACTACTCTCGAATTCTCTCCTCCACTCTCCTACCAGTGTCCCAGACTTTCTCCCCCACCCGCAGCAAATTCACACTCTACTGTTGTAAGCAAGACAAAAGCAGAAGAGAAATATTAAAACTTATCAGAAACTTCTTCAGAGAAGAGGCTTCCAGTTTGTAAGGCCTACTGTACGGCAGGTTCTCAGTGTGTGCTCATTTCCACCTCTCACCCCCCCAAAACCAATCAGAGAGCACTGGAGGTCAGCCCCCTGCATGTTCTACCTTCACATTATAGTACACTGACAATCGATCTTCACGGAGGTGCTCTGAGACCCCAGTGAATTCTCTCCTCAAATAGCAAACATCAAATTATGTTAATAATAGTTTTATAGTTGAGTGGTTTATGGTATTCTGCTTTGCAAAATGATTATGTATAGTACCCACAGAAAGACTAATCAAATAGAACATGCAATTAACCAGAAAATTCCCTACCTCAAACCATTAGGGATCAATTAGTCAACAAGCATTTACTCCATACAGACTCTGTGCCCAGGCCTGTCTGGGCATCTTGGATCACAAAAGGAGGAGCCAGAATATGTCTCTTCTCTCAAGCAGCTCAGAATAGCAGAGAAACTGACACATTTGTAAAGAAACTAACACATTCCAGGGAAGAGAGAACAGCCTGATGCCTGGCATATAGTAGGCACTTAGTGAATGTTGGCTGGATGAACAAATAAATGAGCAACTTTGTGTCAAGGGAATACATCCTGTAGGAGCTCAGAGAAGAGAAAGGAAATCGCAGACCAGAAAAATAAAAGAGGGCTTAGAACGCTGGAAGTCCAAGGCTGGGGAAGGACATCTCAGTCCAGAGCAAGAGCATAAGCAAAAGCCCAGGGAAGAGAATGGGAGGGAGACTATTTGGGGCAGGAAGGAGAGAAGCTCGATCCAAAAGGCAAGTGTTGGGCTGGAGGTGATGAGAAAAAGATGAGCCATGGCAGGTGATGAGAGGGGCTCGGAAGTCAGGCTAGAGAGTTCGATTCAGTGTGGCGGCCAGCCGAGAACCACTCCAGGTGCCTGGGCAGCGTAAGGACACGATGAAATTGGTGATTTAGTAAGATTAGTGTGGCAGTGGTTCGTGGAATGAACTGGAGGCTGAAGAGAATGAATGAAGGAAATTGTATTCGTGTACATGTGTGTACAAAACCAAGGAGCAGCCAATTTTACATTTTCCGGGGACTTGTAAAATCAGAAAGGACCCAGAGTATGGCCAGGAGCATGAACTAGTGCTTTTTAACATCATGCAGCCCAACTTCAGATCTTGTCCACACCCAGCGACACCAACTCCTGACAACTCAGTTTACCAATCCACGAGGAAATGGTTATGAGGCATCATTTGAGAGGGATGCTGTAATAGGGCAAAATTACAGAAAATGCAAATGATGGAAAAAGTGTTGGCACTACATAAGCACATTACTACATTTAGTAGCATTCAAAGACACTTAAGTCATTTCCTTAGGAAGCTCTATTTGGCCCCTTTTCAATTTAGAGTGGCATTTTTATTATCATAACTGATAGCAGGTGTTTGTGAAGAAATCGATTAGTATGCAGGGATGGAAATTACATTTTCCAAATGAATTGCATAGTCTGCAAGATACACTGAAATCTGTGTAGCAAAATGCAAGCAGCTATAAAGCATGTGCCAGCAACATTATTTAAATAAATTATTTGAATGTAAATACATATAGGAAAGTGCACCATCCATTATTTCATGGGCTCTCTTAGAAGCTTGTGGAATGGCACTTCTTCTTGGCTGAGCCGAGGGACCACTATTTCTGCCAAGCAAGAGACAATGCTGTTTGCGTTTCTGGACTAGGAATGTGATATCATTATATTTAAAAAAAAAAAAACAAAAAACCAGCAGTTGTTAACTCTGTAACTGCCCGCCCCAATCAATACCATAGCCAATCCCATCAGCGTTTTTATAACTGAGGCATATAACTAATTCACATTCCTGATTAAATGATTTCAAGCTTGATATTTGAAAAAAAAAAGGTTACTCATGGCAGCAAAGTGGTGATTTCTAAAGGGTGAGAAATTGTATATTGACTCCACTTAACTTCAGGCCACCTGTTTGTAAACATTATTCAGTGTCATGCCGCAGCCCTGAATGCACCCTTCAGATGAGGCTTCCTGGAACATGCTACATTATGTTTCTAAAAGAAATAAAACCCTGATAATTCCTAACTTAATATCATTTTTTCAGTATATTAAAAACTCAGAAACTTGAAAGTTCCACTCTTTCATTTCTCTCTCTCTTTTTTACTCTTTAGTTCTTTCTGGGACATTGCATTAAACAGTTTTGAAAAATGTGTAATCAAGCTTCCATGATAAAATTTACCCTTGAGAGACCACATAACAAATTCACTATTCAAATAAGCGTAAGGATTAAAAATAAACTACAGTATGCATCTTTTTATAAGAATCCCTGAGGACTGTACTATGTTCCAATAAATGGAATATTTAGCTAAGAGCCTCCACATGTGGATTACCAATTTTCAATAATAATAAAAAAAGAATACAATAAGACTTGAAATGTAAACTACTCTCCTGAATATAATTAAATCTTCCTTTGGTGATTACAAAGGTGCTCCTGAATCCAGTGGTGCCTCTGGATTACCATTCGTTCACCAACCATCAGATTATTGAGAAGCTCTGCGCAAGAAACTGTGGCATGGGGCACCTGGGTGGCTCAGTTGGTTAAGTGTCTGACTCTTGATTTCCGCTCAGGTCATGATCTCAGGGTTGTGAAATCGAGCCCCTCATGGGGCTCTACGCTCAGCAGGGAGTCTGCTTGAGATTCTCTCCCTTTCCCTCTGCCCCTCCCCCCTGCACACAGGTGCATATGTGTTCTCTCCCTCTGTCAAATAAAAAAAATAAAATCTTAAAAAAAAAAAGCTGTAGCATACAAAAGGGGAAGGCCAGTGCAGTTGTCAGTTTATACTTGCTCAGATCTTAGAAAACTTCTGTTACTGGGGTTTTCTGATTGGATCGAAAATGAAGTAACAGTGTAAGAAAAACTCTGCTAACCAGGATTAAATTACATTTCAAAAATTAGCACTGGAGTCCTAAAATTACCAAAGTGACATTACTGTAGGAAAATTGATCCAAAGATTAAATTGCACTGCTGAAAGGAGAGGTTTAAAGGTATTACAGCAGTTTGCTGTACCCTTTACTGGATTCTATATAAACCATTATTCTTTATAGTAATTATGGTCAAAGTGACCTCTTCTTGTCTCCTGTCTTACTTACTGTGTTTCCATGGGAACAGTGGCATGCTTAACTTCTTTAAGTAAATAATCTGGTGAAAGCCTGGAAATCTCTCTCTTACTGCCTAAGCCAGCCTCAGAAAAATAATTAGCACTATATGAAGAATGTAAGTTATTTTGGGTTATGTCCCAGTAAGCTGACAATATGTTAATATCTTTTTCATGCTCAGGCAAGATGTAACTAAATAACAAAACACTTTAACATATTATTTCTAATAATATCTGGATTTCTCAAGAACTGTTCCTCTCGGGGTCTTTGGGGAACTCTGTGTTTAGCATTCTTCCCCCGCTCTGCCAGGCATCCTCCTGGAATGCCTGTGGGGTGCTGCTCAAGTGTGTGTTTCTTTCCCACACGCAAAGAGTCTCTTCCAAGGATTTCATCAGCTGCTGCCCAGCTAGGCAGTTGTGCTGATAGGTCCAGATCACA